CACCACCAACAACAACAATCCAACAATCACAAAAACATTTCAATTTTGTTACCAATTACAAATCTCAAAGTGTTAATACAATGAAAAAACGACAAAATCATCAAATGATATTTTCTCATTTCAGTCTCAAAATTTGCAGATTGCATTTGAAGCTACATATTACTCCGTGTTACGTAAAAAAATTGCTCATAGAATCACAGGTAAATCTAAAATCAGATCATAACAAAAGAATATATTCATGGTGGATCTAAGAGTATAGTAGTAGGAATAAGAAGAAAGTAAGGACCAATTACTAATTGGTTGATTGTGTAGGCAAAATTTTGGATCATCAAACATCCGCAGATCCTTCATTTTCAATCTTCAAATCCGATTTTCTTCCATACCGCGTTACGAACCCTGCTCAGATCCCTCCCTTTCAAAGTCCTACCAATTCCTTCATGTACAGAAAGTGACGCGATTCTTCCCCTCGCTAAATACTCGTGCGGCGGAATCCGGTCCTCGTCGCCGTACCGATCATCATCAAAATCATCATCGTCGCCGAGTGTCCTACGGTTTTCCATGAGTTCATCCTTCAGTATCATTGACCAATCAGGAACATCAACCGGCAGCGACAACGCTGTTCCTCTAACCACGCCTCCTCGCTTCTCCGTCGTCGGTACCGACTTCTTCGAGATTCGAGAACCTGTTACCGACTTATGAAAGTCCGGCGACGAGGAGACGTTCCAGACGTCGAATTCGTTGAATTCGAACCTCAAATCCGTCGCCGTAGGACCTTCTCTTTCGCCGGAGAAGTACAGGTAGTTTCCTCTACCTAAGTAGCTCCTCGATGCCGCCATTAAAATCAAATGAACTTTCTCTCTCAAAAATTAGGTTAGATTTAGCTCTGTGTTTGAAAGTCCTATCAAATTGATCACTTTTGTTCGTATTTATAGACTCTCTCTCTCTCTCTCTCTCTCTCTCTCTCTCTCTCTCTCTCTCTCTCTCTCTCTCTCTCTCTCTCTCTCTCTCTCTCTCTCTCTCAATGATTTCTTTTATTTATTTAAAATTCCATGCAACTTCATTGCAGTTTAAATATGTACTTTCACGCGGAAAATCAATATATATTATAATTTCACATATTTAGATTATATATTTTATAATTTTTATAGAATAACAAGATATATTATATTTAATCATGTAAATGTAAACTAATACGGACAAATAAGCGAAAAATATGCAATTTCTGTAGTGAACGAAATAGAAATACATTACGATCAATATATTGACTTTAGCTCGACATAATATATAAACATTGTTGTCTTTATTAATTAAATAGTTTATATATGTATAGTTGTATACTGTTGAAGCATTTATTAATTTGCTCAAAATTATTTATAAGACAAGTTGTTTTTTGTTTGCACATATATCAATTATTAAGCTACAACGACATAATTAGAAATTTGATAAAAAATAAAAAAAATAATTCAATTACCTAATTCAAATATATCTGTGAATGATTATGAGGTGGGCCAGATGTATGTGTCTCGCATCTTATATCTCTCTTCATTATTTTAGTTCCTAATCCATTTTAACTTAATTAGTTATTAACACATGTTTCTACAAACAAACTATTAATTCTTAAATAATATTAATAATTCACAAAAAAAACAACATAATGAATATTCGTTTCGACGTTCAAATTTGTGATTGACTGCCAAATGCCAATAGATCATGAAAATATTATTCATGGAGCTTGAACAAATATTTTATGAGAAAATATATAAAAGTTGTTATATTTAATACACATTTATGATGTAACAAATGTTTTTAATAAACCACACAACTTTTACTTATCTCAATTCAACCAGTTTACCTCCTACAACAATTTTTTTTTATAAGTTGGTCCACAAAAATACAAAAATATAATAAAGTCTATATAATTTATCCAAAATCACCTCATAAAAAGCCATGCAACTTGCTTGGTTTAGAGTTTTTTTAGATGTTAGTTTTTAATTAATTTTATATATTTAAAAGTTAATAAGTATTTTTAGAAAATATTTCTATATAAATACAAACTACAACTACAACTTGTAGCTACAAAGTAACAGCTTTCAACTAAAAATTACTTTTGTCAAAACATAGAATCAGATGGATTGAAAACATGATTTTCTTAAAAATAGATAACTCCAAAAAATATATGGCATTTTTATAATTTATCATTATATTTCAGCTGTGTAAATTCTTAAAAAAAATCAAATAATTGTGGGAAATTTAAAATGGAGAATAAAATATCAAGTAAATTTTTTTTTTTTTTTTTCACATTTCATGCTTATGTAATAAGGAACGAGATAAGACAAAAGAACCGTATATCCTTGTATTTTTCTTGATTTTAACCAAGAGAGAAGGGGAGGAATTTCAGAGTTTTGTCGTGACGTAGGGGATAAATGCACGATAAATGATAAATCTTGGGATGTTCAGCTGGTGCGTGGAACACTGTAAGCTCCCTAGTCACTACTGCTGATGTTGACACGATTATGACACGTGTATAGTCACTAATCAAAACTTGTGGTGGAGCCGATAGGATGCATTTGGAAGAGCCACGTGAAGTGGAGCGTGTGGGGTGTTGTGTAGTGTAGCGCGTTTTGTCCATGACAACTCACGTAACCATGGTCCCCCATTTTTGGCGCTGTCTATGTAAAACGCGACACATGTACAAAAATTTACTGAGGTCATGTATTTTGGATGTATCCTAAGTTAGATTTCTATCTGTTTTTTTGTATTATTTTTAAGTGAAAGTAAATGTAACCACTATCATTTATTTTGTTGTAAAATAGATACTTTGTGATACATTTCAATCATACACTTTACATGTGAAATCCACTATTTCTGTAGATTACTTTTTGTATTACCACCACCAAAACATATTAAAACACAATTATTTTTATTGTACGATTATTTTTCTATATACTATCAAATTGTTATATATATGGTGCGAGATTGATCGATTTTTGAAGATTTTTTTTTGTTATGAGGATTTTAAAATATTATTTTCACAGAAAAAAGAGTTTTATGGTGTAAAAATTAACTGGTATTTTGAGATATTGTGAACCTGTGAATAGATTTTCTGGAAAAAGAAATGGAGAAATGTAAAATCTGACACGACACGATAACCTGATACGAATCCGACACGAAGTTAACGGGTTAAGGTTAGAGATTTCAACCCGTTTATGTACACGGTTTAACACGATACGACACGATAATTAAACGGGTAGAGTTAGAGTCAAGACTTTCAACTCGAAGATGATCCGTTTAATTATATATATATATATATATATATATATATATATATATATATATATATTATATATATATATATATATATATATATATTTCATATTTTTATAAATATTTTCAATATTATACATTTGTAGTGCTCCAAATTAAAGAACTAAAAGTAAAATTTAAAATTTCAAAGTGATTTAATTTTACTCTTCCTCACTATCTATATCTCATTTGCTTCACAATTCTAACTTTTTTTATTTTGCTTTCTAAACTTACTACTACATCCGTACCATTTTTATTGTCAAATTTTGACTTTTGAAGTCTTTATTCTTCAAATTTGACCTTAAATATTTTTGTTTTTATATATAACACTTAATGCAAAATATATGAATGGATTGTATTTTAAATGTCATTTCATTATTATAAGTTTTATCAAGTAATTTATAACACAAATAAAAATATTTAAGATCAAAGTAGAAAAATAAATACTTTAAAAGTAAAAGATTAACAATAAATATGAGACGGAGGGAATATAATTTTTTTTTCCGTTCCACCTCCGAACTTCATTATCTTACTTTTTCATTTTTTTTTCCTCCATGACTTTTACTTTACAGCCTTCGAAATGTTTCAACCCGACATGACACAACATATTTATAAGGTTTAAACCTTAACCCGAAACCCGACACGAAAATAAACGGGTTGACACGACACAACACAATAATTAAACGGATCGGGTTAGGGTCAAACACTCTCAACCCGTTTAATGTCTTGACACGACACGACACGTTTTCCAGGTCTAGTGAAAATACGAAAATACGAGAAAAACCATTAAAAAATATCCTAAATTATGGGATTGATTACTCATCCAATAGTGAACTTCGTAATAGTCCTTGCAAAATTCTAGTTATTTTAAAGAAGAGATAATGATGTAAATTGATAATATATTTATCGATTTTTACATATTCAATCATTGATATTTTTTTTCATCCACATTTAACCCTTCAACTTGTTAAACTGTACACGTTTAGTTCTTATGACCGCTACTTCAGGTTAGCTGGCAAAAATCACTTAATAGGGTAATATATTTCTCACTTTGTACACATTTAATACGTAGTATTTTTGTACACATTTAGCCCTCAATATATATATATATATATATATATATATATATATATATATATATATTATTGCAAAATAAATCATTTTTGTTTTTTTACTCATTTAGTAATTATGAATCATTTCTTAAGGTTTTTCTCATGACATCTTACATGAGACAATCATTAATGAGGTGTTCGAGGCTTTTGATGCTTATGTCAATCGTGATCTCGGATATTTGGTTGTTTAGGTCATGTATTATGAACGTCAGAACTTCTTTATACGATCTTTATATTCATGCGTTTGTATTTTAATCTAATACAACTTTCGTTTATATTACTCTTGTTAAAAAGTAATATATTTATGTATGATTTTTATATCCATATGTTTTTTATAGATAAATGTATGAATGTTTTTGTTTTTATAAAATCGTAAGTAAAAATATATTACATTCTAACGAGAATAATTTTAACAAAAGTTGTAGTACACTAAAAAAAAACAAACACGTGGATATAAAGATCGTTAAAATCTGATATCGTATGAAGAAGTTACGACGTTCAGAACACAAGACCTAAGCCGAATTACAAAACCTACACAATGTAACACCCGGAATCCTAGGTATATTATTTTAATATTTTATTTTTGGAATTTGTGAAGAAACTCGACGAGTTGATGCTTAGATTCGCCGAGTGGGGTCGCGGTTGATCATCCGGGTTCGCGTTGGACTCGGTGAGTTCATGAATGGACTTGGCGAGTCCACGCTGTTTAATGAAACCCTAATCCTTCGGAGTTAAAGCCTATTTAAAGGCCCTTATGGTCGTCCATTACGGCTACCACACCCCAGAGAGAGAGTCTTAGATCGCTTGTGAAGAGAAGAGAGACCATTGTTGATCAACTGTTGGTAAAATTTGAAGGAAAAGGTGACCAAGGCAAAAGAAGGCTGAAGGAAATGCAAAGCTAGTGTCTTCAGAGATCAAAGGCTTCATATTAACGTATTCCTTTGGACCTTCTCCAATTTTGGGTGTTGATTCATAGAGTTTGGGTTTTGTTATGGCCCTTTAGAAGAAGAAAATGTAGAGTGCTTAGTCCCCTCTCGAGTTGGCCTTTGGATCTGGACTCAAAAGGGTCCAGAGACTTCAACCCATGAAGCTTTATGAGTTTTTGTGGGGTGATTGGACTTAGGTTGCTATCTTTGGGACTAAATCACCATTTGATGCCATTATGTATATATGTAAGCATCAAGTTTCGAGCTTTACGTGATTATATTGATTGGGAAGGACAGATCTATGGATTTGAGGAATAGATCTGACCTCAGGAGGTCAATAAAACTTGTGCATGGCATGTACCCGCCGAGTTGTTCTTGGGACTCGGCGAATTGAGTCGGGGTAGCCCCGCGATTCTTCCCTGGGGACTCGTCGAGTAAAGGGAGGGACTCGACGTGTTAAATGGGACTAAAGAGTTAAGTGGACACAGGTGGACT